TTGCTGGCGCTGTGCATAGTCCGAAGGGCATCACCTTGAACTCGTACAGTCCATCCGGCGTGACGAAGGCTGTCTTCTCTCGGTCCCGTTCGTCGACCTCGATTTGCCAGTAGCCGCTCTTCAGGTCCATCGATGAAAAGTATCGAGAGTGGCGCAGCCGGTCTAGAGTGTCGTCGATGCGGGGGAGTGGGTAGACGTCTTTCTTCGTAACCGTGTTGAGCTGCCGGTAGTCCACGCAGAACCGAAGAGTTCCGTCCTTCTTCTTAACCAGCACGACTGGAGAGGCCCATGGACTGCTTGAAGGTTGGATTATGTCGTCATTCAGCATCTCTTGAACTTGCTGATGGATCACCTCCCTTTCCTTAGCGGAGACTCTGTACGGCGATCGATGCACAGGGCGCGCGTCGTCCTCAGTAACGATGCTGTGCTTGGCAACCGCGGTCTGGCGCACCTTCGACGACGTCGCAAAGCAGTCGCGGTATTCGGCGAGGAGGTTAACCAGCTGACGCCGTTTAGGGTCCGGAAGCTTAGGGTCAATGTCGAGCTGCGCTGGCGACGTACGGTCTTGCTGGGGCGGCGAGGATTCGTCAGTAATCGCGGCGATTTCGGCGGGGTTTCGGAGTTTCTCGACGTGGCCCACGGCTGCACCTTTCGTGAGGTGTTGCGTTTCGTTTCGGAAGTTCGTCACGAGGGCCACAGTCCGCCCATCCTGAAGTTCAGCTACTCCCCTTGCGACGCCTATGCCTCTTCCCAGGAGCAATTGGAGGCTTCCCTCGAGAAGAACTTCGCCACAGGAAGCTTCATCGATCCCTACAAGTACGAAAACACTCGACCGCGGTGGTAGGTTTACGTGGTTTGCGAGGACTCGGACCGTGGGTGACGTCGCTTGGGGTTCCTCCGCTGGTGGAGCAGGTTTTCGCAGCGTCAGCCGGTTTGTTCCGAGGTCGATGACGGCGCCATACTCGCAGAGGAAGTCCATTCCGAGGATAACGTCCCTCGAACAGTCTTGCAGAACGACGAACTTGACAGGGCACGTTTCACCGTGGATCTCGACGCGAGCAGTGCATCTCCCGACTGGTGTGATGAGATGTCCTCCGGCGGTTCGTATTTGGGGTCCTTCCCACGGCGTCATGACTTTTCGAAGGCGGCGGGAGAGCCTCCCACTCAAGACAGAGTAGTCTGCTCCGGTGTCCACGAGTGCCGATGCGTCGTGACCGTCGATGACGACGTTTAGGTTGTTGGACACCGTTGCAGGGGCGTCGTAGCGATGCGTGGCGTCGGGAGAGTGGGAGCGCTCCGGCGTTCTTGGAGGCTCTTTACGTCGGTCGTCTTCGGCAACTCCACCTCCAGGGGTTGCCGCGCCTAGTTTCCCCGGCGAGGAGCGAGGGGCGACAGGCTTTCACGTCGGGGTCGGTGCATCGGCGAAGCTGGACGTCGTGGCGATGGCGACCGGAACTCTCGGCGGGACGCAGGCTCGGGGGACTGGGGTCGTCGCAGGTACTCGTCGATCTCCCGAGGGCGTTCACCACACCGGGGGCGCGGGTCGTTTGGGTGGAATCCGCGCAGCCCGAGTCGTCGGTATGGGCATCGGCGGTACACATGGTCGGCTTCCCCGCAGTGGTAGCAGAGCGGGCGTCGGTCGGCCGTTCGCCACACGTCGGTCTTCCTCGACGAGGGTTGCTCCGGGCGAACGTCGTGGACTTGTCCTTCCTGGCGTCGAGGATACTGTGGCATCGGAGGGTCTCGTCGGGGTGGCGCCGTGGTCTGGCGGTTAGCTTGCGGCGATCTTCTGGCCATGGCGGCGTAGCTCAAAGTAGGCTCCTCTGGCGTCGTCGTTTTGATCGGAATCTCAGGTTGGAAGGCTCGGTGGACTTCCTCTCGGACGACCTCGGCGAGCGACAGGGAGGATGAGCGATCCGTAGCGGGGAGCATCTTGCGGATTTCTTCCCGGACGACTTCACGGATGATGTCACGGATGCCTGGGAGGTCGGTACCAAGGTCGTATCCGGATGTCGCCAGAGTAGTCACGCCAGGGTGCCGCTCGTAGTGTCTGGCGCGTGCTAGTAGCGCACGCTCCATATTCGTCGCCTCCGTGACGAACCCGTCGACAGTTGTCGGAGGATTGCGAATGAGACCTCCGAATATCTCGCTTTTGACACCCCTCATCAGGTGTCGCAGCTTCTTCTCCTCTGTAGCCTGAGGATCGGCGCGGGCGCTCAGGCGAAGAACATCCTCAACGAAGCTGGTGATGCTTTCATTCAGACCTTGGGTCCTTGTTCGAAGGATGTCTTCGGCCCTCTCGCGTCGGTGTTGGCTGGTAAACGTCTTCACTAGCTCTTGCTTGCACACCTCCCACGAGGTTAAAGAAGCCTCGTGGTTCTCCAGCCAGTACCTTGCAGTACCTTCCAGCGAGAAGTAAAGGTTCTGCAAGCAGTGCTCAGCTGACCACCCGTTATGTCGGGCCACACGTTCATAATGTTGCAGCCAGTCCTCGATGTCCTCGTGGGTGTCTCCGTGGAAAGGCGTCGGAGTTTTGGGTGCGACGGGCAGGTATACGACGCTGGCGGTGGACGGGTTCTGGGACAACTGGCTGTCCATCGTTGGCCTCGTTGGCTGCTTAGTCTTGGGCGGTAGAGGTCCGAATTCCGGGTGTAGACCTTGGGTGCGACGACTGAACCGGATCTCGGAAGTGTTTTCGTCGGTTCTTCGTGGGCTAGGCGTCGGACTTGCACTGTGGGCCCTCGGAGGGGTACGCGGCAGGGGCATGCGGTACCCCGCACCTCCACCAAATGTCACGGGTGGTGACCAAACAAAAAAACAGGAAATAAACAGAAAGAAATAAACGTTTAATGTGGCGAACTTGTGCCAAAAAAAAATAAAGAAGGAAACAGAACAAAGAAGAGCGTCGCGGGCGTCGAAGTCGGCGTGTCAGCAGAATCGAGCGCTAGGGCGAGACTGACTCGACAAGGTCGCGGGCGGCCTCTTATCTAGAGTGCGCCGCTATCTCGAAGATTCGGCGAAAGCGGTTCGAGCGTCGCGTGATCGGGGCGAGAATGAACACGCACTTTCTAGAAAACAAAAGCAGGGACAAATGATAGAAGTTACGTGCGGTACATGAATAAACGGGAACTTTCTGGAGGACCGTGACCGAGCGTTGCTTTCTCAGCCTTGCGCGCGGCAATATATACAAAGACTGTTTGCAGACATGTTCTAAGCATGCATGAAGCGAACATGTTACGCACATGCATGAGGCATGTCCACAGATACTTCCGTCATTTTGTCTACAGCTCACACCGTGTACGAGCAGTGTGACAGCGACATTAGCATTTCCTCGTTTGAATAGTTCCAAAACACTTGTAACCTTTAAACAATGGTGCACTGCACTGACATGTCCCTAGCTTCGAATCTCATGTCGCTCGATGGTGTTCCCCGTGTGAACCTAAAAAGAGGCTCAACTTCAAGTTGGTGCGTCCGCCATCCAGTGCGCACAATAGCAGCGCGCTAGATTCCTTAATTATGCGAAAGCGTTAACTGTCCCATGGAGCTGAGCCGGCGCGGTGTCTGTAACCGCGAAAAACGGCAAATAAATTCCCATTCTCCCATTGGCTGAGCGAGACGGCAACTAAATTCCCATTTTTCCCTTGGCTGAGCGAAAGGGCAGATAAATTATCATTGGCTGCGACGCGTCATAGCTCTCTGGAATGCCACCCCACACAAAAGCCCGCCTGGCGCTGCATAAAAGGGCCGCCGCTGTCTCGAAATTCTCAGGTTAACTGTCAAACGTGGCCGGAAGCCCGAAGGGGGAGAGCCGGACATTTTTCTTTCCTTCCCTGTGCACTACTGTACCACGTGTTCTACACTCTGCTCTCAGCCATTTTGCGCCGCGGGGGAGTGGGGAGCGCGGCTTGTAGGAATGCGCTGCATGTAGGAATGCTTTCGCATTCCTACACTTAGGCAGTTTTAAGTGTCCTCCTGTAATTTTTTCGCCTTAATTGTGAACAGTCCATTTTATCGATACTTCTTAAGTTACACCATTTAGTGGTGCTCCTAAATTATAATGTAATCACCACACGAGTAAGAATAGGGCTGGTGTTGTAACTATTTTAAACATTTGCCAGATGTCGCTAGATATCGTTAGCCGCTACTCAGTCCGGGAGCAGCAAAGTACGTTACGTAAAAAAAGAATCGTTACAAGAGACAATTAATGGTTAGGTAAGTTACGGTATAGTATTATGTAAAAGTGTGCCCCCTGGCACCAGCAAAAACAGGAAGGTTAATTGTTAAAGGAAACAACTAATGATTAGATAAGTGACAGCATAGTATTATGTAAAAGTCTGTTCCACGGCACCAGCGAAAAAAGGGAGGTTAATTTAATATACGCGAGAGTCTTCAAGGTGCTACCGTAATATCAGGTAGACGACCTTTATATCGCAGCAAACCTCTTTCAGATTGTAGACATCTCGGCCTGACGTGCAGGCCGCCAAGTGAGAGATCAGCAAGCCAGCACAATTCACGAAGACAACGAACAAACTCTTTTAGAGCGGCAGCCGTTTCCGGTACACTTAAATTTGCCGAAACGGTGTGACGATATGGTAAATCCGCTGTGCACACTCGCTTGTTCCGACCAAACAATACAAAAGAAGCAAACATTGTTCTAAGAACTAATATAAAGTTCAGCTGCATTTTTTAATTTTTTTTAAGCCTGGCTAAAGGTACATTGCTCGCTGTGGCATTCGTGGAATGGTGATATAGTTTCTCACTTTGACTTCGAACTAGAATAAATCACTTTTTTTTTTTTTTGTCTTGCTCTAGGATATCCTCACAAGAAATGTAGTTAGTTAGGCTTTAGTAGCAGCTGTGCCTTGTCGTTCCTCGTTTTCCCCAGTTTCAGGGGTTTCATATCATGTACACCTTTCTGTTGTGTTTCAGTTTCTTACCCAACTCAATTTGATTTACCTCGCCCGTGCGGTAAACCCACAAATGGCGTTCCCACAACTCACCGCCAACGAAAGAGGCCAAGAAGGCTCCCAGGAAGAGGCTGCCCACCACAAGCTGCTGCGTGACACATGACAGCCGGAAGGTGTCCTTGAGCTGCAGCAGAGCTCCCGATATGATGCCTGCACCACAACAAGGCCAAGTGAATACCGCACGTCCAAAGCACAGTCAGTGCAAGCAAAGTGTAACTCTTACCTTTGGCGGCAGCGTGATTAATACGGAAATTATACGACGCTCTGTGTACAGTCTCCGGCGATATGAAAGACCCACTGGGAGCGCGTGGCCGAGGCGGTGGCTGGTGGGGGCGCTGCGAGCGCTCGGGGCAGTTCCATTCTGCTTCGAGGGGAGGACGCTCACTCGGGACTTGGCACGAACTGATAAGCGCGTCTCGCTTTATCTGAGCCCGAGTGAGCGTCCTCCCCTCGAAGCAGAACGGAATAGCCCGGAGTGCTCGCAGCGCCCCCACCAGCCACCGCCTCGGCCACGCGCTCCCAGTAGGTCTTTCATATTGCCGGAGAGTGTACATATACAACGTGCATGATTTTAATTCGAACGTATCTTTTTTAAGGAGTGAGAGGTAGACGAGTGCCGTCTTCACGATGTATTTGTCAGGCTCGGCGGACATTAGATGAGGGAATAATCATCGTAGTAAGTTGAATAATTATCTAAAATGTGTGAAACAACCTTTGTTCTAAGGGTTGGTTTTAGGAGTAGGGTTAACAATGCAGTATTGCTGGGAATTATTATTAGAGGCCAGATCGTTTTAAAGAAATTGCGAAAAGGTCATACGTTTTATAAAAAAAAAATTAATTTTCGCGTTCTTTTTTTATTTTTTGCAAGATTTAGGCATTCCGCGAGAAAAGCGTATCGAGCTCTGTTCACAACGACGTTTGGAAGACTGAGGGACTTGGTCACTTGTGTCTCCGGCGCACCCACAAAAAGCCCTCTGCCGAAATAGTGACCACACGAATGAAACGGGCACGTCACTGTTCTTTGAGTCATTCTGGGCAGGGCTTGTGACGCTCTTTTTGATCGCAATTTGTAGATTGGGTGAAAAATATCGCGGAATTCTTGCGTTTAGTAGTTTTAGAACTATTACCTTTTTTATTTTTGCAAATTCTTTAAATTTGTATGGCCTTTAATAGTAATTGCCGTCAATATTGCAATTGTAACATGCCCCTTAAAGCCGGGGGTCACATAGCTTATACACCATTCGCGGCGAGAAGTTTCGGTACAGCCGCCTGGTGGCATTTTTTCACAACCCGGAGCGGGGATACTTCAACTTCCTCTGCTGGTGCAAGCGCGTGCAATGCCAAGCTTCTATGCACTATGAACATGAAAACATAACCGCGTGGGTAGCCGGTTCACTACCCATAGTGAAGTAAAGCCCCTTCATGTTGTAAAAAGTAGCGCAAAGTGCGTCGATGCACGAGACACGTGCAACTCGCAGCCATTGGGAAGATCATGGCGGCAGAGCACAGCACTGAGCTAGATTTCAGGCGCCATGTTCTTCTCAGAACCTCCGCGCGGCACGTGTCTTGAGCATTTCCACAACAATGAATGGCGCCACTTTTGCTACGATAGAAAACAGCAGCGCCTCCCGCGAGCTTCTCACCATGGATACAAACGACAGTGTGCATAGAGATTCGAACGCAAGTCCAAGCGAGATGCTTGCTTCGAATGCCGCATAGCAGTGAGTTCAAGGAGAAAACTTGGCACGAGGCAAATTGAGCCACGGTTATTGGGGGGACTCGTGTTTGCAGACTGTCGCTTGTACGATGAGTTAATTGACGAATTTCAGTTAATTACTTAAAGAAATTGCGATAATTTTCTTATCTAATGACCGCCGAGTCTGATAAATGTACGTTGAAGACAGCACTCGTCTAAAGGCTGTAGGTTCACACATCTGCGTTGGTTGCGTTCGCATGCAGCCGAAAGGACCGTAACGACAAAGTCACCGGGACAAGTGTTCGCCATACACAGCGTGGCAGGCGATGCAATCCACGAGTCACGGTTGTTGCGGTGGTTTGGTCGTTACGGTTGCATGCGAACTCAACTGGCGCAAATCTGTTACTGTCACTCCCATTTTACTTAACCTTAACCTTAACTCTCACTCCCTCTTTACGAGAGAAAGAAATGAAAAACGTTTACAATTCTTTGTAACGCTGAATTGAACTGCAGCTCTTGAGGGGGAGGAGGGCAGGGTATGTAGGGGAGGGTCACGTGTGACGTCACGAGGGCAAAATTTTTCCGCTAAATTTGGCTGGAAACTCTTTCGCTAAATTATGCGAGAAAGGTTTTCCGCTAAGTTTAGCGGGAAAATATATGCATATGCAGGCGCAGATGAATGAACCGTATTTCATCCAATGAATAAAAAAATCGAAGGTTTACGGACCCGCCGAAAGCCCAAATAAACGGTGGAGCCAGTATATATATATATATATATATCAGTATGTCGAACCGAAAAAAATACGGGTTCGGTTACGGTTCAGGTTCAGGTAAATTTATTTTGTTCCGGTTCAGTTCCGGTTCGATTAATTCGATCCGCGAACCGGTTCGGGGCGCTGAACCGGTTCGCGAATTGGTTCGGAAATTATAAATGACAAATTGCAACATCAAAATAAATTACAAATAAAACATCTGGAATCAGCACATACGAAACGGGATACATCGTAGTGTAAGGCTCAGGTATTTCTACCAGGAATGGTTTCTTTATGTGCACTCAAAGGCTACCTCACCGACGTTTACGCATTCGGACTTCATCTAATTGGGTCCGACGCAGTAGCTGTAAAATCCGCGACCTCCTTACAAACCCACTTAGAAGTAGAACTCGCTAACTATCCCGCCACCTCTGCGTGTAAGCAATTGAAGGAACAGTGGGGAGAAAATACAACTTTCTTTATTTGAACTAGCCTTCGGTAACTCAAATTAGACTCTTAAAGAAGCTTTCATTAAACAAGATACGGAATATGAAAAACACTTCACCGAACGCAATGCCAGAAGGACGTAATAGGATAAATATTAAGATAGAAGGGTTCGCTGTCTCACAAATATGTTAGCTTCTAAGTGCCTATACAAAACCGGATGCATTATTATCAAACTCCACAGCCTTTTCTTTTCCAATTCCGATGGAAGCAAGCTTCAAGAACTCGCGCGTTCTAGAAACGTGTTATGAAATGAGCACACAGCTGCATTTAGGATTTACGAGATTGTAAAAAAATAAAATCCCGTGACGCGATTTTTTTTTTTTTTCCACAGCCTTCCAATTTTTTATCTTCCGTGCAAGCCGCGACCAGCGCAATACTGGTTCCTATGTCAAGATTCATGGATGCAGCGTTTGTCAAGATTCATGGATGCAGCGTTTATATTCCTAACACTGAGTGGAGAAGAAAAATATGTAAGCGAGGTGTGTGTCAGTTGACGGCACTTAAGAAACAAATGGCATTGATAGCACATTCATTGTCAACAGCGCGTGGCCGAACCGTTTTGACATGAGCCGGTAACCGTTATTTTTTTTTCCGGTTCAGTTGCGGTTCGGGTTCATCGCGATAACAATATAACGGTTCGGGTTCGGGTTCAGTTCCGGAAAAAATACCGGTTCGGTTCATGTTTTCGGTTCGGTTCGTTTCCGGTTCGACACCCTGATATATATATATATATATATATATATATATATATATATATATATATATATATATATATATATATATATATATATATAAACTAATGAAGTCGCACTTGGAAACGTTGCTGGAGTTTTAGAGCATTTAGTGAGTCGAAGTTTCGGCCTGAGACAGGCCTTCTTCAAGACAGGTTGCCAGAATCGGTTACAGAGTTGTTTTCGGTTTCCACACCCGGGTCGGCGTCACCTGTCAGATCCCGTGTAAAAATGCCCAAGTAAAAAACGCTGCTGTACTCCCTCTCACTCCACGCCCGGCCGCAGCAGGCGCTGCCAGCCATCGGAACCAACCAAAAGCCGCGTCAGATTTCCTGACCCCTGGAACGTCACGTACGGAAGGCGCAGTCACGTACGGAAGGCGCAGTCAGTGGCTGCGCCTTCCGTACGTGACGTTCCTGGGGTCACGAAATCTGACGCGACCTTCGGCTGGCTCCGATGGCTGGCGGCGTCTGCTGCGACAGGGCGTGGAGTGGGAGGGAGTACAGAAGCGTTTTTTACTTGGGCATTTTTACACATGATCTGACACGTGACGCCCGACCCGGGTGTGGAAACCAAAAACAACTCTGTAACCGATTCTGGCAACCTGTCTTGAAGAAGGCCTGTCTCAGGCCGAAACTTCGACTCACTAAATGCTCTAAAACTCCAACAACACTTCGAAGTGCGACTTCATTACTTCATAGTCTTCGGCATCCTACGCTGTATTTTCTTTGTATATATATATATATAAAACTGAGAAGAAAAAACCCTGAGTGAAAAACAGCAACAACGGACGATTTAATCTTCGACGTTTCGGCCGGAGTCCGGCCTTCGTCAGGAAGAGTAAATATTTTTTATTCATAAAACTATCCCGTAGAAGATATATATATATATATATATATATATATATATATATATATATATATATATATATATATATATATATATATTTATATATATATAAAAACGAATATGTGCAGATGAATGAACGTACTTAATCCAATGAATCAAAGTTTTCAGGAACCCGCCGAAAGCCAAAAAACGGCGGAGCCAGGATATATATATATATATATATATATATATATATATATATATATATATATATATATATAGTATATATCTTCTACGGGATAGTTTTATGAATACATAATATTTACTAGCGAGCCCCTCAGATCTGGCCATTCAGCAAGATCGCCATGTTTGAATGCGTCGATGAGGTCCTAGGTCCCATTTATCTAGTATGTGTTGGCATCAGGACAATAAATAACCTTCAGCTTTAAATCACCCGCACATTGATGTTTAGAATAAGCACTCTATGAAGGGTTCACAGCAAGAATAACTCAAATCTCTTAATTTTTGTGCCACCAACAATTCAAATATAGTTTCCTGAAGCCAGAGTTGCGTTATTTATTCACGCAGCAATGAATTGGGTCTTCAACTTCTACGTGACTGCTTACAACGACAACA